CTTCACCAAAAACAGGCTCATTGGCAATCTCCCTACTCATCTCTGGTTATAGCGGTTGATTTTTGATAATTAGAAAAGACATATTTACGAGGCTATTACTTGAGCGATGCCTTAGTAGCAATTTATGACAATTCTGGGTACTTGATGAAAGACATTTTTAAACTTCGAAGCTGTAATTCTTCTCAATGATTATTGTCATCGTTACTGTCAGTTACTATGACCTTTGATTTCATAACCAAAGTGCAGTTACGAATGTATCTTCTTCCAATAAAGCCATAATGTTCGATTTGATCAAATGAGGAAGTTTCGAACAGATTTAATTACTTTGATTAGTCTTACTATTTTATTGATACATATTAAGTATCGACATTTCTTCTTGATGAATAGGACATGTAATATGTAATCGATTAAATCCACACTCCATTTTACAAATCGTTTCATAGACTTCGTTGGGTTTTATTATCAATTTGAAATCCCCGCTTAATTCTTTGTTTTTATCTCTAGGTGGTCTGATTCGTGGAAATTGTTCTTTGATAGGTTTATATTTTTCCACTGGTAAACGCAATTTGTCGTCCTTAGAGCAACCGATTTTCTTTGCAGGCTTTTTTTGATTTTTACCCTTCGGCATTTTATCGTTAGGCCTTCGTATGTTTTGTAATATTTTTTCATCCTCTTCATACGATTGACCTAATATACCAAGATAGTTGTCAACCGAGATTAAAATAATTATTAAAGTGTAAAACGCACTTCGATAAATAGGAATTTTTCCAGCGCGTAGCTTTTTTTCAAATTCACGAATTTCTTTTTCGCAACGTTCCAAACGCGTTCCTTTTAACATCAATGGCGGATCTATGCTTTCCTCACAACAGCAATTGTCCTCGCGCTTTTTCTTATTATACAATGAATACTCAAGACACTGCATCATCTTTTCCACAGAAATAAACTTGTTCTTCTCGATCCTAGACATGACACCAGGTCTCTGTTTGGTTCCCAGAAGATGATGAAGCTTTATTATCAAATAAAAATAATCAACATTGAAGTTTCATTAAAATTTTAACACGGTATTCGCTTCTGTTATTATAATTTATATTACTTATTATACCTTAAACAATATATAAAGAATCCAAAGCATCGATTCATATTCCGTAACCTTTCGCGCATTCTCTAGTTCACTTTCTCGGAATCTAAAACAAGTCATTCTTTTAAATGATAAATCCACAGTTCATAAAAAATACATTGACGAACTTTCTCATTTGTTCCACTGTTTCATTATTTTTCTTGTACACGTAATCCAGCCATTGTCGAAATTTCCCTATATCCATTGCATTCTTCCTGACCCAGTAACCGCGCCAAACGGCTTGTATCTTTCCGGCCATGGTGTCGTAATATTGTTTCCAGCTGGTAACAACACTTTCCACTAAATAAAATTCTGCGTATACTCTTCCCCGATATCCGCGCCAGTGGCGTTGAATTGTCGTTACTCTTTCGTGCAGTGATCGAATGTGATTACGAGTTAAAATTCCTCGAAACCAGGCCTGATAAAATTATTCGAATAACGCGCCAAAAATCTTGGCTAAAGAATTTACGTAATTCTAACCTGAATCTTTCGCGCCGCCATGAACAGAATTCTTCTCATAAATTCAGCCTCCTGTTCTCGATTTCTGACCTCATTTTCGAATTTGCATTTATCATTTTTTAAGGCAATAACCGATGCCATTTCTATTGATCAATTATTAATAGTAGGCTGCTGTATTATTAACTGACTGACATTTTTTGTGCGGTTCTTGACCCTGACGTTGCTCACTTCACCATGGATAATTCAATAAGCAAGATTTACATGGTGCTACAAAATTCCAAAATAAGCTAAACACACTAAAATGAATGACAACAAGAACGTCACTCCAACGACACTGGTGGTTTGAAAAACAATTTTTCTTCTTCGCGCAGCTCGAGATGCAGCACGATAATCCCTGCGTACCTGTATAGAGAAAAAAGCTTAGTAACAATATAAAGCAAGAATGACTCAGTACAAAATTACCATTATCTGTAACGTTTGGGTTTTGCGTATCAAATCGTCCAATCGTTGATCTCTATCCACAAGTTTCTGTACGCCGTCCAATAGAGCTCGTCGTACATCAACAAGTTCACCTTCCAGTCTAGGTATGACATGAGATTCCTCGTGGTTGTAATCTTCCTAAAAATAAAACGTAGGCTAAACGAAGTGAAAAGAAAATTTTTAATTAGTTGACTTAAACTTTGTTAACGTACCACAATTTTTTTTAGAGGTGCCGATAAATCGATAATGGACAAATTCGTGAGATCCCGCGAAAGATCAGCAAGTATTGGCAGTTCTCTGTAAACGCTCCTTAACCTTTCCAAAAATATATAAGAAGCCGATGCTAACTGAGGCGCCAAGGATTCGGACTCTGCAGCAGAAGTGAGACAAGCGTACTTCAGCTCTCCAGAAAGCATGTGAATGGTATACCTGATTTCGGAAAAGTAAAAAATAACAAATACCAAGAAATGTCATTTAACTGAATTATTTAAGGGGGTAAATAAAAATTCTCTTACATGCCCTGATCCAGACTCATTTTTTCATCCTGATTGGAATTCGTGCTCTCCAGAGCCGAGAGTGCAAGACGCTGATAGACTGAGGCCTCTTTTGCAGAATGATCAGCAACTATTCGCATTTTTGGCTTATCCCAGTGCGCGACTAATGCATAGAGAACTGTTTTGTCCATAAGGAATAATTTCCAACTTGGAACTCTCAGTGGAAACACAGGGACTCAGCGGAAACTCAGAACTCGATACAGGCTGTAAAATGACTGCAGTTTTGTTAAATACATTTTGTGCACAAGATTATTGTCTATATATTCCCCCGAGTTGGTCAGAGCAAACACTTGTGATACGTACGCCAATCGTGTTTACTTGGGTCAATAATATCAGAATGAGTAACGAGAACTTTTGATAAAGAGGAAAGAAAGTGGTTGGTGAAATTAAGTTTGATTATTTCTGCCTTTCGTTGTATAGTTCATGAAATTATTTAATAATTTGCAAATTTAATTATATATAGTTTATATTTTTTTTTAATCAATCAATAAACAAATACTCAGTATACGGTGGTAATAATTAGTTAATAATTGTCTGGTACAATTAAATCTTTTTTGCTTCTACATTCCTCGTGAATTCATTAGTTTGCATCCATTTTTGGATTTTTGGTAAATTTGAGGTTAGCCAATTGATGCTGTTAGCTGCTTCCTCAAGGGCGTCGCGACGTGCATTGCTCCCGGCGCCGGCTTCTGGATGTTTCGTGAAGAAGATTTTGGCCTTGAAGATTTATTTTACTGTAAAAATGTGAAACGATCGAAGAACAAGTTTTTACCTCTTCCAGTTTTTGGTTATCCTTGAACAAAGATACTATTGAACCGACTGCAAGACCCATAGAGAAGTCATTCAGTGTATATTTGTTCACAAGTTTTTGCCAATCATCTCTGTGTTGATAAGATGAGAAATGTCAAAAGGTTATTATTTAAAATTTTTGTTGAATAATAAATATTTCACGTAAACTACCTTACGAAATCCCATACGATATTCAATCCCATTGGATTCGATGCAATTTTAACGATTATTTCAAAAAAGTTTTGCCTCCGTACAATATTCTCGTTTGTCACATTAATCAAATATCTACAAGTTACAGCAATTTTTATATCAATAAAAATAATGGTATTAATTATTCTAAAAACCTGTTGAGAATATTCTCGTCTCTCACGCTTGCCAAACCTATCATTAATTTTTCTTTTTCCTGAACGTCGGTCTCGCACAAAAACAAATGCCACATCTTCTCAAAGATGCTTTGAGCTTCGCTGCCAAGCGAAATCAGGCCTAAAAAAAAGTGCGATTAAAAAACATTTTCATATTCAAATACGAAGGTATTGTTGAGGATTATCAAATTCTACTATACCAAAGGAATAAACGATAGATCGCAAGTCTGCATGTGGTTTGGTGGCGCCACCACTTGCAATGAAATCCTTAAGCCTTGTTTTTGCAACTGCCAGACAATCTTTATGACCAACTGTGCAAGCACTTTTCAAAATGACTACACGTAACTCTCTGTAGAAAATTTTTTAAAAAAGTTATTACAAGAAGTAAACGAGAGAAACCCCAACTATACCTGCGCGTCATTGATTCATTTTTCTCCACCTTCCAGCCAACTTTTTTGTAAATGGTGTCGAGCAATGTTTGTGCATAACACTGTTTGCGAAATTATCTCATGAAAAATTTGCACGAATCATTATCTCCTGCAGGGATTCTAGTCGAGATTACCTGGAAGTGCAGATACAGTTTTGTTCCTGATAATAATTTGTCTGTTTGATGCAACCAGTTGGCAGCCACCGTCCAGGGCTGAAGAGCATTTTCATTGGTCAGATAAGTCGTTAGGTTTAGTACAGCACAGTAGCAAAGATCATTTGAATCAGCCAGTAGAAAAGCATCGTGAAGCAAGTCCGCCCTGTCGAGAGGATCTAGAATCTGTATAAAATAAAACAATTTGGTTAACCAATTTAAATAAAAATTTTTTATTTTTCATACCTCAAAATCTTCAATAAGTAAATGACTGAACATTTTCCAAGCATCCAATGTATAATTCACAATATAATAGCCAACAGATTGATGATTCAATTTAATCCAACGCACTGGCGCCTCTAGTGCTAGTTCCACTAAATAGATAATCAACTAAAACATTTATCATGACCAAAAATTTATTCGCTTCCTTATACCAACCGCAAGAGGAATTTCCTAAGAACCAACCAAACTGTACACTATCTTCTCTGCTAGTTATATATTTTATAGGAATATCCCAGCTTTGTCTATGAATTAAAACAAATATGAATAATTTATTTTAAGAATCGCCCAGAACTATATAAACTTGCTTGGAGTCAATGTTTTCACTGCTACCAGAGATATAACGTTTTTGAGTAAGTCTCAGAGAGTCGCCATGACAGTGAACACTTATAACCGGAAATCCAGGATAGTTGGTCCAACTACTCATGAACTTGACTACATCAATATCCGGTCTAAAGTATTTCTGCAATATTTGAAAAAGCTGACAAGTTTCAGCATTTCCATACATATAAGTCTTCAGATAATTTTTTATGCCACAGATAAACTTGTAATCACCCATGGCGTCTTCCAGCATTCTAATAATGGCTGCACCCTATATATAGATACCAAATATTGACAATATTATTTTCCAAGTTACCTATTAATGTAACAAACTATATTACCTTTTGATAAGAGATACGATCGAACATTTCGCCTATTTCATCCGAATTCTCGGATCTATGTACGACTGGATGTGAACTGATCTTAGAATCGTGTTTCATAGTGACGTATTTGGTATCGAGAATGAATGCGTCTCTCTGAGTATAAAAAGTCTCTATTAATTACTTTAAATTAATATGTTAACACAGCAATGCTTATTCCGGTTTGTCTAATACTTGTCCATAGGAATTGATGAATTATAAATATCTTTCATAGGTTTAAATGTCAGTGACCTGTCAACTCATTTAAATTTGTAATAGCTAAACCGAAATAAGACTATTCTGCAGTCAGTAATGATGACTGGTAACGTTAATCAATATAATTTATTATACTATACCTGACGCCATTCTGGGAATATATAATCCACTGCCAAGTGTTCCATATACGTAGCAAAACCTTCGTTCAGCCAAAGATCTTCCCACCATTTCAAGGTGACCAAATTCCCAAACCACATGTGTGCCAACTCGTGGGATATCGTGAGAGCGACGCTTTTCATATTGGCGCAGGAACTGTGGTTTTCGTTAAAAAATAATTGACTTTCTCGAAAAGTAATCAGACCCCAATTTTCCATGGCGCCAGCAGCGAAATCCGGCACGGCTACTAAATCTGTACGAGTGAATGTGAGTAAGAATTTTGATTGAAAAAAAAAAAGAAGATGACAGTTACCAATTTTTGGCAATGGATAATCAATTCCGAAAAGAGTCCCATAAAATTGCATTGCTTTCGCAGAGACTGTCAGAGCCAATTGAATTTTATTTCTGTCATTGGACTTGCTGTAGATGCTGATAGGTATACTGCGACCGTCTAGACTCTTGACGGAACTCGTTGAGCAGATCAGGTCGCTGACGATGAAGGCTAGGAGATACGTGGACATCGGTAACGAGGCTGCGAATGTTGTTATGGTCAAGTCTGAGTTATTCATGGGATGTTCTACTTTCTTGAAATAAAATATTTCTTAATGACATAAACCATAGACTCGATTGATTCGAATATCTTGTACGGATAATTATTTGAATGTTCCTAGGTTTTGATTTACGAAGAGAAAATATTTTTACTAAATTTACTTACTACGGCAGGCATATTTGAAAGCGCGTGATATCCATTTTTTGAGTTGTAAACAATTCTCATGTGAAATATCGACTTGAAGTTTGGTTCGTCAAAGCAGGGAAATGTTTTTCTTGCGTAAACCGGCTCGAATTGGGTAACAGCCATTTTCCTGAAATAAAGAAATACGGTATTGTTATACGTTGATTAACCCTCCAGTGGCGCCCTCTTTGTCTTGCCATAAGAAATGTATAGCTATTGAATCTGCCAGAACACGTACGGTCTGTTTTGAGGTTAAAATTGCACAGTCGACTTTCTTGTTAGAATAAATTTTCATGATATACCTTAAGGAACTGTTGTTTTGATTTTGATAGGTGCTGAGATAAAAGCCATTTATTTTATCGATTAACGATCCACTGAAGTTCATCCTCAATGAATATTTTCCTTGAATCGATTCGTACAGATTGAGAATAATTATTTCATATTTATCAACGGTGCAGATTGTTTTTATGGGAATTTTCTCCTTTTCATCTCTTAATTTATATCTGTACAGTTTACTTGAGGTGATGGTTAAATTTTTTCCATGTAAAATTACGTGGTCTCTGTTCTAAAGTTATTTATAAAAAATAACGGTCACGTGTGGCTTAAAAGAAATTTTTTTAATTTTCAAAATACTCACTTCCAAAACCTCAAAATCTATCTGAATGGCGCCATGAAATTCATCCTTTACGAAATCTGGCGAAATAGCAATAATATATTTGCTTGGTATAACGTCTTTAGGTAGACGGTTTTTAATTTCATTTAAAAATGTCTCATTCACTCGTGATACAATCTCATTTTGCGAATTCGTGACGACCATTATAATCGTGAAAAATAATACAATTAGGATATAGGCTTCCATAATAAGGTTAACTCTACAAGAAACTGAAATAAAAAAGATTCTTCGATCCTTCAAATTCACATTATCTCTCAAAATTACATTGAAGCAATAAAACTTGAAAAATTATTAAATCTGTCATAACCTATTGATCGGAAGTTAGTAACACATGCAATTCTATATCTTGTATCTCTGTAAAATGAGCAAGTTGAAAAAAGAACTGTCAATAAATAAAATCAGATTAATCGTGTCTGTTTATTTTCATGCGTTAGAGTGAGACACAACTACGCTGTCAGTGAATTTCGTCAAGTCGAATATCTATTACTTGTGGTATAATATATCTACATATGGTAAAATTCAAATTCGAAAAGAAAATTAAGTCTAACCTCATCCAACAATCCTTGATAAAATGAACCAATGAATTTATTAAAAATGAATAGAATGCTTCCCACCATCTTCACATGATCTATCATATCGGGATAACAAGTTCTTTCCAAGTGGGGGAGCTGGAGACTTTTACATACACATCGACTATCCTATAGATACCGTTATTCCCTACCACGGATGTAGTGTGGAACCGTACAGTGAAGGTTCTTCGTTCTAAAACTAATTTATCTGTTATAACAGCTGGATAGGATTAGGTAAGCTATGGTTAAAATATTACAATAATGTCCTACCTACCAATAAAAATATAGTATAAACAGACGATGTGTAAAAGAATTTGAAAAAATCGTTTTTAAGGTTAATGTTGGTTAATTTGATATATGGATACGTACGCAGAGTGATGAGGTTAGAAATAAGATAAAATTTAAAAATCTATAATTTTCAATAAATTTATCAAGGTTTTCATGGACTAAATTGTTTCATGTAACAAGAAATATGATTCGGTATCATCTCTATTCATTATATAATATAACTAATAAATAAACCGACAATAGCGGCAGCCATGACAGTGTCAGATCTGGTCAAATTACAAAAGAGATACTTTTTAGAATGATAGTTCGGAAGGAAAAAATCGTATAAATTTCGGATGGAGTTACCCAAATTTTTTACCTGAAAAAGACGTCACAGTGATTAAATAAAAAACGAAGTAGAAAAATAACTTAAAAAATTTTTCGCTTCTGACTTCATCATCCTTTTTACGCATTTACATAGAGAATGTCTAAATCAACAGGTATAAGTTAAAGAGATATGTGTGAAATGATCTAGTGGATCCATTTGACTTATTATGCCATGAAATCAATTTATGGACGCTGGGTACATCTGTTAGTGAATCGGGCGAAATAAACTGATAGTTTATTTGACTCGGTCGGTAATTCGAAAGTTTGTGTTTTGTTTCAGTAACGATGCCGAAATATAAGCTAATATATTTCAATTTGCCTGTTCTCGGCGAACCGATAAAGTATCTTTTACATTATGGCGGAATTGAATTCGAAGACGTACAGATAAAGGATCGCGTGAACGAATGGCCGAAGATAAAGCCGAGTAAGTAAAATAGGGTGTGATTGGATTGTTCACTGTAAACTGTGACGTAGCGCATGTCATATATTTTACTGTACCTGATAAATTATTTATTATTATTTTTGTGGTCAGCAATGCCCTTCGGCCAAGTACCTGTTCTTGAAATTGATGGGAAACGGTATCCTCAGAGTTTAGCGATATGTCGTTACCTGGCTAAGCAATTGAACCTAATCGGTAAAACAGATCTGGATCAGTTGGAGATAGACGGGTTAGCCGATACGATAAGCGAATTTCGAAAATGTAAGAAACATTTAATTTATTTTACATATTGTTATTATTGTCAAATTAAATATTGCTCCTGTAGCGTCAATGATAATAGACAAAAATCGTTATTGTTCGTTAATAATTTGAAGAAAAATATTTTTCCAGTGTTCAGCCTGTACTACAGGGAACCCGATCCAGTTATAAAGGCTAAGAAGAAGGAATCGCTGGAGAATATTGAGGTTCCATATTTCTTGGATAAATTTGAGGAAATCGTGAAGAATAACAATGGATATTTTCATGGCGGAGAGGTAAACTCAGAGATTAACGTGTAAATAAAGCGATACGTGTATTTTTACAAAAACTTTCAGACTTACTATATAATAATATTGTTTCACAGCTGAGCTACGTGGACTTCTTTTTCGTTGGATTAGTCGGTGCCTTTAATGCTCTGTTGGACAAAGATGTCTTGGCAAACTATACAAATTTGAAATCCCTCAAGGACAAGGTCCAAGCTATACCGGCAATACAAAATTATTTGAAAGACGCACCTAAGCCGATATTTTAAAACGATTTTGTAACCAACACGCAATAATAAGACTATATGCAAAAAATAAACATTCCTAGGGATACATTTCAATTTTAGTTATATCAAGTTGAAAAAAAAAAATATAGAGGGACCGCTAGTCTGACTTTTAGGAATGTCAATTGTACCACTACCACTGGCACAGCTACCATTTCTTCTGATCATTCCTATTCCACTCCTTGCCTTGTACTTTCCGCTGTAGACTCACGAAGCGGATTGCCAAGTGGCTATCGTTCCCATTCGAGTTCAGTTAGTGTTCAATTAATGGTTGTCCGTCAGTGGTGAGAGTCTCCTCTGAAAATTCGATCCGAACTCTGATTACAAGTGCAGTAAGTATTGCCAAATAACGTTTATATGAACTCACCTATCTACAAAAACCAAGTCTGAGAGGTACGATTGATCTCTGATGCGATGTCAAGTCTTAAAAAAGATTTTTATTATTTTTGAGTCGAAAATTTGTTGAAATTCCGACCGCATTAATTAGCACCATCCACAATGTACAAAACATCGTACGTGATCGTATCGCAGGGTTTAACGGATTTTGAAAACAGTATTTGCCAATCAATAAACTCATTTGTTTTTTTCATAAATAAATCTGGATATTTTATAAAATTCTAATGGTCGTTTCCTTTTAATGCGTTTAATCTTTAGATGTACGATTTATTACATGCTTATTACACGGAAAAACAAAACTGCAATTCTGACGTCCAAAAAATATTCGAGAATTTTCACTTTGTCGAAGCGAATGTGATATTTGACATTCGCAAAAAAAAGATGTTACCACTTGGTAAAATATATTACCGTGGACGTGATAATTTAATAACAACATGCATTGACCACGTACCGATGAGTTTGAGGTGGCTTTAATGGTACGTTGCACTTTTACAACGACATGTATTTAAGGGTTAACGATCAATAGAGGTCTGATGATTTTGTTTACGAATTAAGGTCACAACTGTTTAAATTCACGAGACCAAACACACTCCTATCGCAGAGGTATTCAAAACTTCGATACGTCTATCAGATTTGTGTAGATTGTAGCTTATACATAGCTAATTTATACACACGTTATATTGTGAATGAATGAGAATATCGGTTGGTAAAGTAGACTTGGCTTATTTTAAATATGAAACTCAGTAGGTAATTGGAAGTGATCGGTCGATATGACTTTGTGAAAATTGTATATTGAACGTAATTTTTTGAAATTCTAATGGAGGTGAGAGTATCGTTATTAGACTTTGGACTATATGTAATAATAAGAGAGTGAAAATGAAACTTTACTCGGGCCAACTGGTTCGACAATTTAAAAATGAAAGTAAGGACAAAACCCCGTAATTATTCACATGCAGCAGAACACGACTGTTGCGTAAGACGTAATCGCCGGTAAAATGAGAAAAAAGTCAACCTACGGCAATGAAAAGAATTTGACAGGTAAATCTTGAGACCAAAATGCACTGCTTGCATAACTGTTTAAATATGTTCTCTCGCAATATTACGAATTCATTTTATTGTAACATTATGGGAGCGCGATATTAGTAGTAGAGGTTATGGAATTGGAGTAGAATATTGAATGAAACCGACAATCGGTAATTAACGTATCACCAAATGATAAATGTGATGATCTAATAAAGAAACTTTAACATATAGTCAGTAACCGTTGGCGTAGGTAATAATGGTAATGAAATGTTTTTTTTTTATCAGAATAACAAGCATGAAGTACAAGGTGATATATTTTGAAACAACTGGTATTGCCGAAGTAATTCGCTTGATCTTGTCTTATGCAAAAGAGCCGTTTGTGGATGAGCGAGTTATTTTCGAAGATTGGCCGGAACGGAAAAAACGTAAGTTAAATAAGACGTTTGATTAATTTGAATTAATTTTTGTTTAAAACATTAATTTTTTTTATATCAATCATTCAGATGCTCCGTTCGGACATTTGCCACTTTTCGAAATCGATGGAAAGCAATATCACCAATCAATAGCAGTGAGTCGTTATTTGGCAAATCTGTACGGGCTTGCTGGAAACAATTTGATTGAAAATATGGAACTGGATGCGATTGTCGATACCGTTAATGACTTGAGAATAGGTATGCAGAGGATAAGATATAGAAAGAGATGAATTTTTGTGATCAATTACATTTATCGTTTGTATTGTCTGCTTTAGAATTCACAAATTGTCTTTGGGAAAAAAACGTGCCTGAGAGACTGAAGAAAAAGGAAATAATCCTTAAGGAGACTGTGCCGTATTACTTTGAAAGATTCGAAAAGATGCTTCGCGAAAATGGAGGGTATTTCTATAAGAATCGCGTAAGTCAAGATTATCAATCTATATTATATTTACATCTATTAATTGTATATTAAAGCCGTAATGTTAAACATTTTTCACTTACGTACAGCTTACATGGGCAGATCTGTTTTTCGTGGCTCTGATCCCCTACATGAACCTGGCAGTTAGTGACAACATCCTTAAAGAGAACAATTTCCTCTTGGAATACGTTGAAAAAATTTCTAAACTTCCAGGACTCAAAGAGTGGATGGAGAAGCGTCCGAAAACGTGTTGCTTGGCGACTTTGGTGGCTGAGAGAAAGGATTCATAAATTTCGTTAAAATCATTAAGAATCTGCACACCTTCTTTATAACTTCGCATAGATAAACCATAGTATATGGTTATAAGAAAAAAGAAAAACATAAAAGTTCCTTCAATTAATTTCAAACTCTCATCCTTTATCTCAATCCTCGTTGCTCCTGTCAATGTTTCCTCGTAACTAAAATTCTTCCGCCATATTGCTTTACCGATAGCTAAGCTCCCTGTAATAAATGTCAACGTCGAAATCCCAATCGGACATACCGTGGCGCCAGCTATCGTCAGAAATGTTTAAACGCGGCCCTCGAATGATCTGTGCGCGTGGTAGATGCGCGGCTGAATCGGCGGACCGTCAGTGTGCGCGCCCGCGGAGCCAGACAGACATCTTGTAGTAGAATTTAGCGGCGTGGTCGACGTCGTGGGTGTCGTGTCGCGGTGTCGTGGTGTTACGGTGGTGTCGCCGTTCGTCGTCGTGGTTCCTGGTCGCGATCCTCGTCGTCGTCGTCGTCGCCATATCCGTGATCGTGATCGTGATCATTGCCAGCAATTCGAGCGTGGTGGTACTACTAGTGGTAGCCAAAGAGAAAGAGAGAGAGAGAAAAAAAGAAAAAGAGAGACAAACCGCTGCGACTGCCTTGTCGTTGTTGCTGCTGCTGGTTCATCGTTTGCATCAGGAACGAAGAGCAGTCCGAGTCCGATGTGTAGTACCGTGTGATAGCATCTTCTGTGATCTGTAGGAGAAAGGGAGAGAGAGAGAGAGAGAGAGAGAGAGAGAGAGAGAGAGAGAGAGAGAGAAGGCAAGAGAATTAAAGGCGAAAAGCAGCAAGAGAAGAGAGAAGCATCTTGAGTGATCTCCCCTTGTTCGACAGGAGCCCACCCCCAACCCCCACAATACGACCCCTGGCCCCCCCCAGTATACCCAGTGCCCCCTGAATCCCCTGACCCTCTGACCTCAAGCCCCACCGTCAGCACAGCCGAATAAGAGTGACGGAGTGACAGAGCGCAGATAACGCACGGGCCCGGTGCGGCGATCCTCCGCCAGGATGACCTCGAACAATTCCCAGAAGCTCTCCACCACGGAACGTGTGATAAAAAGTAAGCGAGGATTTTCTAAATAATTCAACGGGGGCAAGTTGCGTCCTCCGCGACGTTCGGCTCGTTGCGGTTGAGCCTCTCCCAGTTATATGTGCTACCACCTACCCACCTATCTGGCTCTAGCTACCCCACCTATCTCCTCGCTCTCGCCCACTCATTCTGCTTGCCCTTATTTTCCATCTCTTTTACAGTTCTCACCTACATACTCCGTTCCGTTATACCGAGCATCCCTTGTGTTCCTTATCATCGTCATCCTGTCCCTCCCTTGGGCAGTGCTGGTCTCCTTGCGAGGCACCTAACTCGGGAAACGAGACGGGGTCTTTGACGGAGTAAAAGGGAAACCTGAAACGAAGTTAGTGAACAAGTGCACGGACCCCAGGTCCTCGGAGAGTCCCAGTTCTCACCCGGGAGGAGTCTTTTAACGTGAAAACAAGCCACGTCCGGGAAGGAGAACACGTCAAAACACGGGAGCGTTGCGAGGATTGATTTTCTCGCGGGCTACGGCGCCATTGCTATCGACCTGCCTGGCTCGAGTCACGCTTTTCTGTTTTCGCGGCTACGAGCCCCTACTAGTCCTCCTCCCGGGACTTTCTGCAATGGATGCCTCCACCTGATTACCTCAGACACTTTTCAATTTAATACAGTGAGCCTTCATTCTCGCTTATCGATACTTCCTTGCCAGCTTTCCTTAAGTATCTCACTTATCTCTTTCCCTAGGTAAATACACGAACAAATCATCTGGAAAGTCCTCGTTGCTTCCTATCAATCCTCCTCGTCCTGCGACCACCTAGTGAACCTCGTCCGGAAACCGCTACTCTTCTAACCACCTACATGTGTACCATCCGTCTCCGCCATCTTCGTCCGACTTCACTAAACTACTCGTGTCAACCCGTGAACGTATTTTCTCAGTGACTATTTACCGTCGGTTCCGAACGTCCTGAACGTTGCTTCTCTTCTGGAACAGCTGACTGTTCCCTTCATAGTCTTCGCGTATTGACGTCGCGCAGAAAACATTTAGCAATGTAAATACAAGACTTGCCAAAGACTAGCTTTACTCACTTTGCTTCCTGAGTCACTGATTATTAGAACTACGTCAGTCACGGACTTTCTAGATCAGCCGATTTACTGACACGTCATTACAGATTAGATCTAAAAAGATCATACTATCCCCGACAATTAATAGTCAGGCTCAGCTGAAATCCTAGTAAACATTTCATTTGCCACAGCCTGTATTCGAAAATAACTAAAGAAACTCCTGACTCAATAGTCTTTATGTTAAATTCTTTTAATGAGTTTCCCACGATAAGAATACCAACGGACGCGTACTTCCGTTACCACCAAGCTCTGCTTGATTTATTTTCTTTAATTAACGCCATATACTCGAAGAGAAAATATTTTTTTTAAATATTCCGTCCACTCGTACTCACTGTTTGCCGTAACAATATCGTCGTTTTACACTTACATTAAAATTCATTCTAAACTGATCTTGATCAGACAACATTTTCTTTTACCGGTTCGTGTCCGTGCTACGAGCACCCGATCAGCTTGTATTTTACACCTTAAATTACAGTTTCCTTTTCAACCCCCTACGATTGCCGCTTTCTGTCACATTTACTTCCATCTGGCAATGGGCGAACTTTCCGCAATCGATGACAGGGTTAAGATAACACTGTCGTAATTATAGGAGGCGATCTGGCAGGCAATACCGCGAGTCGGGCAACCCTGCTACTCGTGTACCTCAGCACCTGTAGAGACCATCCAAAGTCTGGTATATCCTGCGCATGAAAGTCTTCACGTTCAAGCTACGAATTATATATGCGCTGGGTCCGCGTGACTCGCATCTGTTACACCACGAAATGCCAAAACGGCTCTGTCCCATCTAACGTAACAGTTAAGCGACACATGTCCTCTGTATAAGTATAAACGAGTCACACGTGTCGGTTCCAATCGAGAACCTGTTTTGTCGCTCGGTATTAGATTTTGACCTATGCTAACCTGTACACCTTGTGCGTACTTGACACACTTGTATCGAATCATAAAATATTTTCTTTCTTTGTACAATTGCGCAATCCATCTGGTACACGGGAAATAATGTATTTTCGTTAACCACACTTAACTACTGCGTTACACCTTATTTCCAAGTGTCGGTTGACCCCTGACCTCGCTCCCACAAACAAAACAGCCACGTTCGCCATCCAACGGGTTATCTTATATGTAATTGCAACTACTTACGGTACCATTAGATTTTTAACGTATGACCTTGCAATTCGACTGTACCGCCTGCCGCATAACCTACGGGTCAAGGATTTCTAGTTGTCAGGGTCAAGGGATATTTATAGTGGAACGATTATGCTGACCTCCAATGCCTTCTAGCGCCGTCGGCTTACGATCTTCCTTATGAGTTTTACTAACTTTCTACTTCCTTCTCCTCTTCGGCTCTTCCGACACTCATAAAAGTCTTAAGGGCGGTTACTGGCTCAGGGACTGATTACCCTACATTGGAATTTTTGACTTTGTTTTTTGCAATAACACCAACAGAACACTGGTGACAATGATTGTCCTTTTTTTTTTTCAAAATTTTTTAATCATCTCAATCGACTATGTGCAACGCGTATAACGCTTGTATTTTTTTTTTTTTTCTATGAAGTCATACAAAAAATGCATCACCCTGGAGGAATTTCTCGAGCCCGCGTGTCTCGCTAGTTTATTAATACCGATTGTCTCGTGAGCTGCCTGTTGACTTCTGCACGAGTATATATATATATACGTGAATTATATATATATATACGTGAATTCCCACATGAGCGTGGAACAACTCACGAAAATATCAAAATCCATCGAGCTACCTACTGTGCATACGTGCTTGTCACATATATGTATGTACATACGGAATACGCGTATCATAAAGCAGAGACGCACATCGGACTTTCTTCTGTATTGTTCGAAGAGTTGCGTAAATATCTGGCTGACTTGCCTAGCAAGTAGAAACGAGAACGCGTGTCTTTTCAAAAATTCGTGTCAGCTCCCAGACCAAATTTTCTTAAATTAAGTTTCTCAATCTAATAGATTTATTTTACGTCGGGATTCCTCGTGTGTCCATGCTCCGATTTGTCATTAGCGTCCTTAACGACGAAGTGTATTTTAGTGTGGTGGTACGAAAAAAAAGAAGATTCTTCGTAAAAATACCGAATTTCATATGCCTTGCTCAGGGTGCATCAGCGAACCCCGGGAAAGTGAATTAGGCTGCAACCAGCTCTCGCCCCGAGCTTCGCCCCGAGCTTCGCCGACGGCGGCCGCTCTGGGAGTCTTTGGGCTCATACGGCTCACGGCGCACGGCTGGGTGGAGTCTAATAATAGACACAAACAAACTCATTTGGCTCGGCGGCCAACCACATTTGGCCGCGGTCGCCATCGACCATCCGCCGTTTGCTGCTCGCGAGACAGCGAAATTTTTATTAATTATGTCATAGAATAAATAAACAAACCAGATAGTGTAGGATCCTTTTTCTTTTGTATTGTCGCATGGGTACACGCCACACTCTGCAAGCCCATAGACCGGACCTGCCTGATCACTCGAAATTACCTGGGTCGGTCTGCCGATGATTGGATGAAATTTATATATACATATATATACTGTTTCCAACAAATGAAATTGATCACAGATCATTCCCGTTGTTCAACTTCGGCGTGTAATCGCCCCATGCTAATCTCTTGGGACCCGCGGAACCTTGAATCGACTCGGGCCGACGGTGTCTGCCTTGCCGCCGCACACACTCCATTAGCCCCTAACCTTTGACGAAGCAATTATTCTCGCGCAACCCAGAGAATTGACGGACGAGCCGTTATTACAATCGTTCTGCCAATTACGTGCACGATCTTTCTGTATCGGCGGACCCACGCAGTGCCACCTAGATTTAACGCGAGCTATCTTGAACGCATCTTGCTCATCTGGCTGGATGCATCTGTGACCTGGTTCGAGATTCTAAAGTTTTTTTAGGTTATAATGTAACACTG